CATCTTTCCTGATCCCCCCGCTCGTGTATAGGTGCTGGCAGTCCTGAAACCTGGACCCTTCCCTGGTTTCCTTCTTTATACCCCGTATTCAATTCTGCCTTCATAATGCTATGTCCAGTGGTGACATGGTAAATGTTCAACAACCCACTTCTCAGGAGGAAAAAGAAGCCTGATTTGTAGTGCTTGTCCACTTCTGCGGTGTCTACACTTCCAATGCGGCCAATTTCAAGCTGCCAACAGTGGAACAACTAGCTTGCAAAATTCCTGGAAAGCTCTCAGGAGCGAGGGCAAGCCTCCTCCCGCCCACCAGGGAGCTCCACCCAGCACCTGCACACTGCTCGCTCCCGGGCTGCCCCCTGGTCCCGGCCACCAGCATCCCTTCCTGGGCCACTGCCACGTGCCTAACAGACTCTCCGGGTTCTGCCACAGTGACCCTTTGGAAATGGAGGTCAAATTGTCTCCCTTCTGTGCTTCTTCCCCCTACAGATGTGCATGGCCTGGTCTCTCCCCCTTTCAAGCTCTGCTGACCAGTCACTTTATGAAAAGCACCTTCCTTAAACCACCCACATAAAATACCAATTCCTGTCTCTCACTGTGTGTTTTCACAGCTCAAACCCAAACTGAGTTGTTTCCCTAGAACTTAAGATCAGCTGACACGATAAATGGAGACAGTGCTCACTTTGCACAGTGACGCAGGACTTAGGCAATGACAGCGCCACTGAAAGCAAGCGAAGTGATCTCAATAATCAGAGGGGAAAAGTAACAATTTTTCTGTGACCTTTAAAAACTTCTTTCAACACATTAGAAGCCCTCCAACTATCAGTTAGGAATGTATAAGGACATGAAAAAAGAAAAGTAAAGCTGTTATTCATTTGGTATGGGGTCATTGCAAACATTAGAAATGTTGAAAAGGGAAGTGTTTTATCTTTTGTAAAGACTTATCAAGAGTAGTTTGCAGAGGGCTTGCCTTCTTCTAACCACAGTGTCACTCCTTTCTCAGTTGGGATCAGTTTCTAACATTCCATCCCTTGCACTTCCAATGCTGCGATATCTTTACAATATTAATGTGAATATATGCTGGTGTCACTCCCTCCGGGACATTCCCTGTCCTCGCCCCCACCCCCAGCCCCACCTCCTCAGGTACGTGGTAAGTTTATCTTCACTTTGCTCCTCTGGGTGCATATCTAGACTCGGGCAACGGTATTCCCGGCAGCATTCCCATGAAGGCCGCCATGGCTTCATGAACCCCTCTCACATTCAGTTTGAACTTGACCTCTAACCTCATCTTTTCTCCTTTCTCCTGTGCACTTTCAGCTTTGTGCCCATTCCCTTTTGCCATTTCTTCACTTTTGTACAATGTCACGCAGGTTTATCGCGGGAAACCAGGAGACTACATAACCACCTGCTTTGCTATTGTGGCAAACACACATCCCAACCCAATGATCACGGCACCCTGATCTCAGACTTCCAGCCTTCTTAACAGTGGGAAAGAAGTTCCTGTTGTTCAAGGCATCTAGTTTACAGTATTTTCTTCTAGTAGCCCAAGTCAAATAAATCTAGAAAAATTATGGACTTTGCTTAATAATAATGTACCAATATTGGTTCATTAAGTTATAACAGATATACCAGATTACTGTAAGACATTAATAAGAGGGGAAACTGTGTGCAGCTGTATATTGAAACTCTGAAGGATTGTTCCAAGTTTTTTCTAAATGTAAAACTGTTTCACAAAATTGAGGCCAATAAAAAAAACTTTAACATCTTGTCCTCAGCTCTCTATCTTCCTTTTGCACCCCGCTGGGGGACACTGCAAGGAAATGAGTGGTGGGGGGGTTTTGTGTTTATATCCAGGTTTTATCTCCCTTCAGGTCTGAGGTTTCTTCTCCTCCTTCCTCTGTCCTCTGCCACAGCTCACCAGAGCCAGGCACTCAGAGATCCCAGAAGGAGCTACTTCTCAGTCCCCCATGGCATTCATCCTAAACTTTTCCAAGTGGCAAAGCCCAGTTCGTCCAGGTGTGCTCAGAGACCTCTAGACCCCTGGATGAGTGGGGTAGTTCTAAGGACCTCAATGTGGGGGGCGGGGGGGAAGGGGGTTAATCCATGTGCTGACGTCAAGGAACAGAGTTCGAAGGGGCTCTGCAGAGCAAGGTGGATGCTGTGATGCACCAGGTCACAGGAGGTGGCCCTGGGCTGTGACCCTCTCTGAGATGGCCTCAGCTGAGGACAGCCACCTTGCCCCAGGTCATGCCCAGTAACCTGCCACATCCAGGGGCTCCTCAACATGGGGATATAGAGGCCCAGCCCGCTCACCCCAGCTCAGGACAACTCTGAAATCACATCCTAGCACCAGATCACATAGGAGATCGGCTGAATCTTCATTGGGACCTCACGGCAGCTCAACTTCTTTTACACATTCCTACTCCCTTCTCCTCCCTTCCACATGTTTGGTCCTGAAAGTACTCCCTGAAAAGACCCGCCTGTTAATATTCATCTTAATAACTGTTTCCTGTGTGGTCGTTGGTACCAGTAAAGGTGGGAAGCCTTTTGACTCTAGGGGCCAAGCCAGTCATGGAAGGATGGACCACATATCATATACCATACACTACAAGCCATAGTCCATATACCATATACCTCATGCCATATACAATATACCATATGCTATACACCATTACCATTTACAAAATACCAAGCACTCTGACTATACAAGAGCAATGAGAAACCACAAAACTCTTTATGCAGGAAAGGGGTATAATCAGATCTGTGTCGTAGAAGACCACCTTGGATGAAGGAGAAGG